CCCTGAAAAGATCCCCTGGCAGGAGGCTCCATCTCGTCAAGTTACAACCCTCTCGAGTCAGCAATCCAGCCCTGGACAGCAACAGGAATATATTGGTACAATACACACTTTAAGAGTTCGACCATAATATTCTCTGTCGCCCCCAAAACCCCAAAAGATTGCACACCCAATATTTCTGTTCATTAACAATACTAATAATAATAATAATAATAATAATAATAATAATAATAATAATAATAATAATAATAATAAGGGTCGTCACTTTATATGTGATACAAGAACAATGAAGTATAATGTATCAGTAAGTTCACGCTGAAAATCCCTACTATCGTTGCTGCGGAAATCTGTGTCACTGGAATCCCTTTAAATATTGCAAGAGAGCACTAGCCATAAATATTGCATCCCAGAAACTTTTAATACAATAAAATTATATTCACCTTCCAATCTATAATATTACCCTCCCCCTACGACATAGTAAACATCTTTGAATTTTTTTTTTATTATTAAAATGAATAATGTCTTTAATGCCAGATCATTCTTTTGGGAATACTCCTGTTGCCAAACGACGTGCTACTGGATCCTTAAGAACAGAGCATGGTACAGCCGCGATGGGGAGACCACGTGAAGGAGGTGGTGCCAGTTTATCTCCGTCCGACAGTGGTCGCGGTGGTGGTAGCGGAGATTCTGGTCCCACGTCAAGTCCCTTTTTTAGTGTGGCTTTTTGTGTGTAGTGCTCATAAAATGAACTGTGCTTACCACTTATAATGTCAACACATGCCTGAGTCTCACTGTCGTACTCAGCCTCATTAATGGGTTGCATCAGGTAGTCGCTATCAAGTGAGGAGCACAAAACATTATATCCAAGAAAGTTTGACGGTGTGTCGGGCGGGTCAATGACAATGGTTACCGCAGGTGGATCGGAATTCTTGCTATCCATTGTATAACTTCTGCTTCTAAAGTAGCTGATATAACGAAAGAAAGTTTCCAATCGTCCGATAGAAAGAAGAAGAAAAAAAAAATTGCAAGATCCACCGAATTCCAGTAAGGATGGCTACATATATTAGTACGGCGATTTCAGGGATTGATTGAATTGTTTAACAATGATTCTTTGTTTTTTTTTTGTTTTCACTTTGACATAGCACCACAATAATCAATACAAAGACAACTTTGTAAAAGTACGTATGGTATTGAAAGGAAAGAAAAAAAAAATTTATCTGAAGAGAAGTCAGTCGACTTCAGCAGGATAAAAAAAGTTGGACCGAGAGGAATCTGAACCCCGATTCCCATAACACCGTCAAAAAAGAGAAAAACCTACTTGCTCTGGTCAAAAACATCTCCAGCAACCAAAAATTCTCAAAGAAGAAGTATCCTTTTTATTGAAGGTCTGACATCAACAATGTAAACTAATACACCCCAATCTACGCTGCAATAAACTTTCAATAGGATCATGACTTCTGCTGTTCCACACCATTCTAGAAGCTGTCCAAGAAGGAAAAAAAAAGGTACCAAAAAAATTATCGGCGTTATAACAGTAATGGTCAGGAGAATACAGCGAAGATTGATATCCAGATAAATTAATATACATCCCCAATGTAAACAACTGAGTCAAACCATCTTTTTTCTCACTTAACCCCATTGCGCCTTCTCTTTATTGAGAAAAGTGTAATTTTCACCACATTTTTTTTTTTCCAAAAAATCAAAATCGACCTCTACATCGAACATTACCGCATACTCTGGTGTGTGCAGATGCTTCCTGGCACCTTACAAAACTGAACGGTTTGGACGATCAATGAAGATAACATGGACATCATCTGAAAAGTGTACCCTTTTTGTCCTTTGCCGTGGGGTTCTCAAGCTTATTCCTTTTCGTACACGCTGAGGTGTACGGCAGAACCAAAACCTAGATGGGAGACATTCAGACTTTGCAGAGCAAAACACTGACTTTGTTGCACGTTTAACTTTTAATTCCTTTGAGATTTTTCTTGTGTAACTTCTTGGTGTCAAACTTTGGAAAAGAGAGTCCCAGAAGTAGGAAATCGGCCGAGTATCATCTACCATATTCTAGCTTTTGTGAATTATTAATCGTGAACCCCGAAGCAAAAAAAAAAAAAAAGCGTAAAAACGAAGAAATAAACATATATATATATATATATATATATATAGAGAGAGAGAGAGAGAGAGAGAAAGAAGAGGGGCAAACAAAACGCATATGGGAAACAATATATATATATATATATATAAACAAAGGATATTTAGGGACAAAAATGGAATCGGGAGGCCCAAAACAACAAATCTTGAGCAGAATCAGTACGAGTATCAACATACTGGTAGTGCAACTCTTCCCCTGCTGCAACATCTCTCGTAGTTCTAGCTATAACATAAAAAGGACATTGAGTACTGCAAAACTTTTCAAAAACATCTTTTGACAACTTTTTTGAGTTACGTAAGGCATCCCTCAATGAGCTCGCTGTATCCATGTATACAGCAACATTGGGTTCCTTATCTGAGTGATTAATAAGATCCATAAATGGTACTAATGATGGCCCACCAAAAATTTTATGAGAGCGCGGAACATCTACACATCGGCTACTACAGATCTTGTGCGCTTTATCCATTGCCTCAACAGGTATCCTAGAACCAATCTTTGCAGCGTCTTCGCATAGAGCAAGTAATATAGAGTTGTTTAGTTTGTCAATGGTTTGAAGTTTAATATATCCATCATCACCCAGTTTGCGCCGTATCTCATCCTCATCTCCTCTCTCAAGGGAAATCCATTGAAGATAATCACTCAGAGGATTTCTTCCGTACAGCATCGCAAGAGCACAAAATACCGTCGTAATGGCACTTTCTTTGGAGTAATCAACTTTAACACCATCTGCTATAACACTATAAGAAGAAATCGCATGCATCAACTCTGTTCCCCACGGAGAAGCAATTGCTATATTTGTTGCAATGGTATTAAAAAAAGGAACACAGCAAAGTAATTCGCCTTCATCAATTCCATTACTTTCCGAAGAGCAAAAAATACCATGGATTTGTTTCATGGGAACCACCTGTCGTCGCAACTCAGGGTGCACCACAATCTCTAGACGTCGAAGATGATGACGCCACATATTTGTCAATATCGCTAGAATAAAAAAAAAAGTAAAAAAATAAGGTATTAATTAAACAATAACCACAATAATTATATTAATAGATGTATAATACAAACAGATAGAAAGATAGGTAGAGTTATAAAGACAGAAAAAAAAAAAAAGATTGCGAATATTCAAAATCAAGAAAAAAAAAACGGAGTAAAAATAAAAATAAAAAGCAATATATAAAACGAAACCCCTACTGTATAGAGTTTTGAAAGGCAGCTCGCGTTTTCTCAGCACGCTCACGCTGTCGAGTCTCAATTGCATCAAGTTTCGATAACAATGAAGACTGTGTTTGAAGAGAAACTCCACGAAGATCAAGGTCTCCCTTTCGGTCATCAACCTCATATCCTGCGACACGATATCGTTGCGCCATTTCACGCTCTTTTTCACGGTGCAGTCGTTCAAGTTCTCTTTCGTTATTAAGGTGTAGTTGAGAGAGATCCTGTATCTGTTCACGAAAAGAGGCAGAAAGTTTTTCACGCTCCTTTTCAAATGATGTGCGAATCTCTTCTGTAATCTTCTGGTAATATGCCTTGAGTTCACTCTCTTTGGCTAATAATGCCACCTTCGCCTCTTGTTCCTCTTGTAGACGTAGCAGGCGCATTCTTTGCTCCCTTTCACCAAGTTCTCTCTCTCTTCGCTCAATATCTGTTAATAGATGTTTCTCCCTTTCTTTATGCCGTTCCTCAAGAAGATCCATCTCCTTTCGATATTGATCATACCACCGCTCCTTATCCTGTTCAATGCAAGCGATCTTTGCTCGGTATTCCTTTTCCTCATTTTCTCTCAAAATACCTAACTCTTTTACGATGCTATCATGTCTCTTTTGATAATCACAAATTATATCAGACCAAGTTTTTGAGAGACGTTCTTCACGTACTTTTATAGTATCATTCATAGCTTCTCGAAGTTTCCTTACTGAATCGTTAAAATTACGTAACATTAGATTCTCCCGTTCATTATAAAAGTTGATAATATCTCTTCGATTCTCCTCATAGGCTTCACGTTGTTCATGCAATATCCGCTCTCTGTCCTTATCATAAGAGTTTAGGCGCTCACGTAATCCATTTACCACTTGTGTGGTATGTTCCAGTAGCATTTCTAACTCTCTTAGTCGAATTTCAAGGATATTTCGACCATTCTCCGCAATTAAAGCACGATCCTCAAGATGGGCACGACGTTGCTCTGAATCTCTGAGACGTATATTAAGATCATAGTTTATTTTTTGATACTCCATAAGTTCCAAAGATTTTTTCTCTAGAAGACTTTTCAAACTTTCATTATTTGACAAGGCGTCCTTGTAATCAGAGGCCAAAACATCCAGTTGTTTACGCTGCTGATTAATAATACCCTCAGAAGTATCGCGATAAGACGCAGCTTCTTGTTCGTGCGTCAATTGTAGCTTTACCACTTGATCATAAAAACATTTCATCCGTGATACAGATTCTTCAGTGTTCTTTTTAAGCTCTAAAAAAGAACCCCAGGAACTCTGGTCATCCTTACAAAAGGACGATTCTATCATCACTCCAGTTTTGGGATGCGGTAAATCTTTTATTTTAGGTAGATTGTCTTGATGCGGAATCTTTTGCTCAGGCGGAGGCGGCAATTCCGGCAGTGCAACCGTGACTTCCTCTGTTAATGTTATCAATGGCTTAATATTAGAAACATGTGATGAGTGATTCTGCTGCGCATAATTAAACTCATGTTCTTGTTGTGTAGTACACGATTGTGGCTTTACAAGTGTTGCTTTCGCAGGAGCCACTTCCTCTGAAGATAGAAACGATAATAGTGGACCTTCCGATTTATTCGCTTGTAATGATGAAGGAGCGATGACCTCGCTTGTTGGAATATGTACACCTGCCTCCCCAACCTTCACGGTATTGGCTGCAATGGGAACAGATTCCTCTCCCCAAGGGCTAGGTGGGGGTTGCCACCCAACCAATGGCTCCTTTGCTGCAGGCTTGACCGAAGGTCCACCTTGCACGTTATCATCGCTGTCTAATAAATGATTCATTAATTACCCTCATCCAAGCTCTCCTAGTATATGTATAGGGAAAAATAAACCCTTGCAAAATATATAAAATGTAACAATGAAAAAAAAAAAAAAAAAATGGATACAGAAAAACGTAATAAAAAAAGGATCAGCAAGAAGAACTAAAAGAAAAATTATTATTATTATTATTATTATTATTTGTTCATAATATAATCTTAATATGGGATAAAAGTCTCAGACCAAATCCATATTAAGAAAGGGGTCGAACTTCTCTGTCACAGGGTTTATCACCACCACTACCACCAAACACATATACAGAGACACAAGAGAAGTAGAAGAAAAAAAAGACTCTCAAACGTCATAATGTCTTTAAAACGTTTTTATCATTTTTTATTCACTTAGATGAAACTGTCTTGACCCATGATTTCAATGATGGAGGTTTCGTCTCTTTAAATCCTCGATCATTGGAAACAGTCGGAATAAAAAAATCAAATGGAGGGCTGATAGCACGAAGATGGCGATAAGCTTGCTGACGTTTGGCTTCATTAATGAAAAATGTCCTTATCTGTTTTACACCATTTGAGAGAATATCTTCCGTTTCACAGACAAAGTCACCTGCATAGTCTTGTAAAGATCGAGATACCGATACAATGTTTACATGTTGGCCTTTCATGACAATAACACGCTTACAAAGCATATCATCACGTTCGCTGATTTCCTTTATAAATATAATTGGGTTATATCTATCAGGTTCAGTAATTGCCTCACTTAGCAAAGGAACAGGAATACGAGTCATCGGTGTTTTTGTAAGAATACAAGATCGATTGGGTTCAGAATCTACAGCTTCTGAGCGCAAGTGATAGAAGTGACAAAGTGAGTGAACAATAGCACGTTTTTCCGAAGGCATCGGTTTCATACATTTCATAGAAGAATCACTCGTTATGAAACTGGATAACTGCTCTTCTATTGTTCGAATCCATTCTGAATTTTGTAGTGCAAATGACCACAAGGGGATAGAATACCTTACTGAAGAAGGAAGTGGTGTCTTTATTCGACTGGCTAATATTTGAAGACGTTGCTCAAAAAGACAATCTGCATTACACTTCAAATCCAAATTATCCTCAGGGTGTTCATTTAGAAACTTTAAAAACTTTTTGCATGGAACATGTTCAATTTTTCTACCACATTCACAACGACGTTCCACAACCTCCTGACATTGCGGGCATTCCTGTGAAAAGTGACATTTTGATTTACAAACATGACCACATTCTTCATGAATCTTTCCGCATATTTGAACACAAACATGAGATTCATCAATACAAAGACCAGGATGACACATTCGCATACATTCATGACCGCAAGCCAATAACTTACCACATTTCTTCTTACAAGAAGCAAACTCAGCACTACAAGGAATATTACCCACTATAGTGTGTCCACCAGCGCACATCATTTTAACAGGAAACATGCATGGAGGACAATCACCATAGTGACAAGAATGTTTAGAAGGTGGATGGTTACAAGGAGGAACAATGGTGCAAGGACGATTACATTTTGGTGGGGGAGTTCCACACGGTTGCGGTGGCATTAACATTTCTGCTCCACATCGACATTTAAGGATCTCTGGTACCACATGGGCACAAGGAGGGCATAAACCACGGTGACATGGTTCAAGACATTCATGACCACATGCTAGTTTCCTATTACACACACGATTACAGTTGTGTTTAACATCATTTGGTTTTTTTCGAGCAGAACAACACGTTTCACGGCATTCATGCTTCCCACAAGATAACTTTGTTTTGCAAACTTTTTCACAACGAAACCCATCCTGATCCTTACAAGGAAGAGAGACTTGTGTCATTCCGCACAAGCATCTAGTAAGTGAACGATGTTTGCAAGGTTCACAATCTCCATCGTGACACAATTTTTCACAGGCATGACGTCCACAATCCAAGAGACGACCACATACATTGGTGCAAGTGGGGATTGGATCATCACACTTTAGACGTTCTATTGTTAAAGGAATCGTACCACAAGGACATGTAGAAACCACCGATGGATCTCTACTGCACGGTGGACAAGAACCAGAATGACATTCTAAATCACAGAAATGAACACCACAACGTAATTTTTTTCCACAAACCTTTCCGCAAGAGAAAGATGACTCAGGACAAAGAAGTTCTCTAGTCTCTGAAGAACAGTAACATATGACTTGCACCTTCTCAGAACAAGGATCACAAGGACCTAAATGGCAAGTTCGTTTGCATTTGTGTTTACCACAATTGAGTTCTTTAGAACAAATACCCTGGCAAGTTTTTTGCGGATCTGGGTTGCCACATCGCCAAGTATATGTTGTTGCCCCACAACTGCATGTTTGAGGACCAGCTATAGCAGAACAATCCGGACAAGGTCCAGGATGACACTGCAACGGACACGGATGTGGACAGAAAGGTCTGGCTTTACCACAAGTCTGACCACAGCTGTGTGGCGTGATATGTGGATCATACGGCGGATCACGCATTTTACCACAAAAGCAAACATATTTCGATGCAGAAGAGTGTGTTTTCTGACAATGTGGACAACGAAAAGACAATCCATCACCACTCTCTCCTTGTTTAGCCCATTTTTTTATGCAATACAAGTGAAAAATGCGAAAACAGTCATCGCATGACCACACGGCTACGTCATGGCGAATATTATTCAGGCAACTAGCACATTCATAGCGCAATGAAACCAATTGCTGGATAATATCTTTCGTTCGTTCTGGCAACAGAGCCGAATCGCATTGTGCAGAAGCGACGATATCCTTGGGCATCAAGGATAGAAAAGAACCGAATTAAATAGATAGAAAAAAAAAATGTTATAAAGAACAAAAGTAAAGATATTTTCCTTAATTCTTCAATGCTTTCGCCTTACCCCTTTGTAACTCCACTCGTCTGGCAAAGGAAAAGAAAAGATCCAGGACCTTATTATTATCGGTCCTACCTTTAGTTGTGTATACTACTCCCCTCTCTCGGCGATCCCCCCACCCCACCCCCAGCCAAATAAAAAAAACAAGAAAAGAAAAGAGAGAGAGAAAGAAAGAAAAAGAGAAATCACCGTCAAAATGTCAAGCAAGACTCCAACAACTGAAAAAGAAAAAAAAAACATCATATTCTTCAATTAGTGTATGTAATAAGAAAATTATTCCTCTGTCACTTCGTCCATCTCACGCTCTCTTAATTGGTGAAGAACGTGGAACATTTTTTCCTGTGCAGGAAGCCTCACTGATTCCTTACCAACCTTATCAACGTCATTCGGAGCGGTCTGGCTTGGTAACACTTCGGAGACCGATCGTCGAGAGGTTTGAAAGGACGCATTAAGTACCGCGAAGAGTCTTTCAGCTTTCTTTTGTCCAAACCCTGGAATAACGGCCAAATCTTCAGAGGTGACTGTGAACAACTTAGCTGCTGAACCAAAGCGGTGTGCAGCACGAACAACATCATTGCGTGTCATTAACTGCGGCGTTTGAGTAAAGGCATCAATGAGTACTGGAACTGGTGTGCTCTCTTTTTTTCGAGCTATGCGATAGTTTACAGAACCCAAAGAAGAATCAGCCAAACCCTCCAAAAAGCTTGCACACTCTTCTTCCGTCCAGCAAAGCATAACCAAACAGTTTAACTCCACACTGCAATGAATATTAAGCCATGCTAAAACATCTGGTCTCGGATCCTGTGATCCAGATAGAAGTAGAAGAGCAATCCTAGATCCAGAGGTATTAAATCGTGACTTTGCCAAAGAGAGACGTTGAGATATCATGTCTCTATGTGCCATATCACAGAGCCGATTGAGATCATCAACATATAAAACACGGGTTCCACCACAAAGAAAGTCGCAAGAATCGTCCCCCAAATTTTCCAGGAGGTATCGGTGTCGCTGCATGAGTCGGGCGATATTTCCGCCCATACATCTCTCAGATATCGCAACTGTACCACGGGGAGCTGGTGGCATCCCACGCCTTCATAGGGCAAACAATATCACATCAGGGAAGAGAGGTAGGAGAGGTTTGAACAAAATAAGGAGAAAAAGAAAAAAAAAAAGGTGAAGAAAACTCAAGACCACATGATGTTTGCGACATCAGCTAAAATGCGATGCCACACAGGATAGATAATTAATATATATATATATATATATATATATATATATATATTTAAAGAGAGAGAGAGAGAGATTTCAGTCAATTGTAATAACAAAAATAAATAATAGAATGAGATCTGATTACAGTTTATTGAGCAGCACACCCCACACTTGGACCATCTCCCCTTACATCATCATCCTCCAGCTCATTGCGGAGATGATCCAGCTCCTCTCTAGAGACGTAGCACTCCTCTGCATCGTCGTGTTTATGGAGGTCAACACTCTTTGGAGGGGGTAACCCCAACTTCAAGAGATCAACCTGAGACTGCTCCAATCTCGCTGGGAACGTAACGTTGAACTGAATCACAAGGTCACCGCAATGTCCAGGTCGTTGTAGTATTGGCATCCCCTCACCAACCACAATCTTTACCTCACCAGGCTTTGTGATTTCACCACGCTCACGACGCACTATCAACTCCCTACCATCTAAGTGCTTTAAAACGAACTGAAAACCACACAAAGATTCTGCCAGAGTTATAGTGTGTGTCAAGTGAAGATCATCACCGTCACGGGTGAACTGTTCATCTTTTACCTGTTCCAACACGATTACAATATCACCCGGGACACCTGTCTCTGGGTGCCAATCACCCTCACCTTTGAAAACGAATTCCTCGTGATGGTGCATACCACGTTCAACTTCAACACTTAAAGGAGACTCCACCTCAACCGTTCTCTGTCCTTGACACACAGTACATGCATCTCTTGGATCAATCCTACGACCCTCTCCACCACAGACATCACATGGTACAGTCATCTGTTGCATCATCATTCCCATTTGACGTACAATGACTCGAGCCCCATTCCCTCGACATGCCTGACATGTGCCACTGCGCTTCCCTTTAAATCCTCGTCCTTCACAAGCGGTACAGGCCACCTTTCGTGAACGTGAAACTTCAATTTTCTTTCCATTATAAAGATCGCTGAGAGTAACAGGCAACGCAAGAGAAACTGTCTTGGGCCTTCGACTACGAGACTCAAACCCAAAATCACCAGCACCCTCAGAAAACAAGGCGTTTATCATGTCACTCATGTTATCAGAAAAACCAAACATTGTGGCGGTACGAAGTATCTTTATACCAACGGAAGAAAAGAAAAGAAAAAAAAACAGAACTATTTCATTGTTAAGTTAATTAATTAATTTTAAAAAAAGAAAAAGAAAAAAAAAAGAAAGCAATACCAATTAAACCAAAAAGAAGCAAAACTACCATAATAAAAAGGAAAAAAAAAAACAGTAATATGTATATAATTATGTATATGAATAGATACAACAGTAAGTAAATAAATAAATAAATAAATAAATAAATAAATATATATATATAAGCGTAAATCATTAACTTTTAATCAGTTTTTAACAAAGAAAAATGTTCTGAATAACCCTGCCACCTCCATTTCTTCTGGTGACAATCGAATCAAAACGTGACCATCTGTATCGCGCTTCCCGCCTCCACCAGCAGAGTCACGCAGCTCCTGACCCAGCGGAGAGTTGTAGTGCGATTCACCATACTCTAGAAAACCAGATGATTCCACCAACTGAAGGTTAAAAGAGTTACAAAGCGTTACAAAGTGATCCCATGGAACCATGTACTCAGGAAGTTCGCTTACACTCTTTTCAATGGATACAAAGTATTCAACACCAAATGAGGTACATTGAGGGTCATTCGAAGGGAACTTTACTTGGTACACATCGTTACCAAATTCAGCACCACGTTCACGCACTCTACGAAGCAACTCCGTATCATTCACTGTTGTTCCAATGAAAACACCACCTGAACGTAATGCCGTGGATACAGTACGGAGAAATGCACAGACACGCTCTTCGGTGCTACAACCGTAGTGAATAGAAAATTGGCAGGAAATAATGTCCAGACGCTGTTCCTGCAAATGTTTTTGAAAGAATCCATTAAGCTCCATATCAAGTGTACCATTCTCATCAAAAACATCACACACGCAAAAATAAGCAGGAACACCAGTATTTTCTTTATCTTGTGGTATTACCTTCAAACTCAAACCCTTTGAAACACAATAACGTGCTGCTGCCTCTGCAACAGCCTCTAAACAAGAATCTGTCATAAAAAGTACTTTGGGTTTGTGGGCCCTCCATTTAAAGAGATCACCACCACGTCCACAACAAAAGTCAGCCACGGCAGGACGGTCAGATAAAGTCTGATTATCACCGTTTCGTTTAACATAAGATACCGAAGTAGTAATCAGCAGACTTTTAATCCAGTTATTAAAATGACGTAGGACACTACGATTTTTACCAGTAGACAACTCCCTCACTTTACTGGCATAATGAATATTTGTCCTTTCTACTATTGAATCAACTTTTGATTCGATGATATTCTGTAGATTATCTTCATTCGAATGTGATTTGAGAAGCTTTATTACATCCTCATGACCACAAGAAAGAAGCCACTGAAGGTGTTGAATTACACCAACACATGTAGACTTTCGGTTATCACCATTAGGTTGGAGGGAAACAATTTTCCAACGTCCTACAGAACCATCAAAAACAACACTGACTGTAAAATCTGACCACGCATAGCTCCCACCAGCATTCGCCAAGGCAATATACAAATTCTCTGTAAGTCTTGATGCGCTATTTTCTACAGGACAGTCAAAACCCAAACCCATACATTCACTTACTTTACAGTGAACGCATGGAATATGTTGTTTTTCACCTAAAAGTCTCACAGCCCAGTAAAGATGAATTTCGTGTTCACCCTGTGTTTGCAATTGTGTAGCTCGAAGTGTTAATTGACACACCTTCTTCTCATCCATTGACCGTAGTAAACTAACGTTTTGCTCATTTTTCTTCTTCTCCTTTTCATGACCTTCACATACAGTTTTTTGGAGATGTTGAACACATTCAGCCTTCAAGGTGTCTCTCATACCAATAATATCTACAAGTACACTGAGGTTAATGTCCTCCACAAGGCTCTCCAGCACAGAAATAATAGTAACTACAGAGTTAGGTTCACATTTATCACTGCGAAGACGCTCAATAGACCAACAATTCTGGTCCCGATCAAACACACATTCAGCAATAACAGAAGATGTTGTAGGAATTGACAACGAAAGCGGATTTAGAAACGTCATAGAGGAAGAAAGACGCACCCTTCCTACACTGTCAGGTCGATGACCGAAACGCCGCTTTCGGAAAAACATATCAACCACATACTCATTATTACGACCTTCAATACCAGTAAGACTCCAATCCACTGAGAGCATGGAAGGCCACTTCCACTTTAGTTGAACTTTGCTCGCGCCCTGAACAAGGTCAAACTTTTCGGGTGTAAAAATAAATCCATCACTCTTCGTTACCCCACAGGGTCTCTTGTAGTAATACACCACACCACTCGTACCATCATTGGTTTCATGACGATGCAGATTCGATATACATTCACCAAAGCATTTGAGTGGAAGCATTTCTTTTGCAAAAATATGTAATAATGGCTTTGTAAAAGATAATTTTTTTGAATCATGTAAAGGTTCTATAATAAGATCCTTTAACACAGCATACCGTTTAGACATTGACCAACGAGTTAAACGAAAATCTTTCTGAGAACCTTCCTCTAAAAACGTATAGCGATAAATATCGAAACAACCTAAAAGAAGCTGAACATTTTCATCTGCTTCAGTTTTAACTGTAAGCATCAACTCTGCATCAATAACAAAAGAATGAAGAGAGGGAACCCTATATTCTTCTAACAGAAGATAGGCCTTACCCATGGAACGATCGAAACAGTATGCCATATGTCGTGTACCTATTCTTCTTTCAGCATTCAAACCTTTTTTCTCTGAGACCTCATTAGTTTCATGTTCCGTGTGACGGTATAGTGTAAACAGTTCAACTTCACTTGATGAAGTCCCTGTCTGAATTTCTATGCGAAACAGACCATGCGATAATTGTATTTCTTGGAAAGCCGTCGGAGGTGAGTTATTTTCGTATAAATACTGACGGGCTTCTTCCAGTGTCATAACATCATCCAAGGGAAGTGTGTCCATACAAGTGCCGCTACTCTCCTGTATAGTCCAAGATGGAAACTCTGGGCAAATATGAGATACCAGAATCACCCGTGTTCCATCGCTTTTCTCTGACACAAAGTACGGATTAGACTGCAGCACCGCCCCATGTGTCTTTCGCATGGGTGAGCACAGTGGCCCCATAAACTCTCCCTCACGACTAGAAATAACGGCATCTCCGGCGTATGCAAAGAGGAGCTGCGGTATGCCGGAGGACTCAGTGGACTCCTCAAGACGTGTTCGTGCCAGCAGTTTTCTGTAATGCACATGAATTGCAGCAGAGAGCGGTGAGGTGTGCACAGACCGCACAAACTCCTCATCAACGGGAAGCAGCAGCTGTCTCCCAAGCAGACTCTCGGCACAGTCGTAAAGCTGCGAAAGTGAGGTCAGAGAGGTCATCACTACTTTAGCGCAAAACAAGTAAAAGAAAAGGAAAAATTGGTAAAAAAAAAAAAAAGAACAAATAAATAAATAAAAATCACAACAGTGCACCTTTCCAAGAACAAAGTAAATGAGTTAAAAAAAAAACAGTTTTAACACCAACACATCAGTAAATTTATCCACTTCTCCAGAACTGTTTGTTAACAGCCATCCAGATAAAAAACGAGAAAAAAAATTATAAAGAAAAGGGCATGAAGTAAAGAAAAAAAAAAAAAAAAACATAATCAACCATTTTTATTCCAACTTGTATTAACAGTTTTGCTAAAATAATCGCTTAAAGGTCTTTATATTACACTCTTTTTTTTTTTCTTTTCTTATCACACCATTATTAAGAGAGGCAGTGAAAGGACACCCTTGAGCTCTCAAGCAGAAACAGAGTCCAGACACATAAATGAAAACGCAACAAAAGAGAGTCGTAAAGTCAAATGAAATAAGGAGAATAAAAGTAGTGAAGAATAAAAAAAAAAAAAATCCAATCAAAACGTATCTCTGTTATTATTTCGTACGTGTACGTACGTATGTGCGCGTGCCAACCTTGAATGTTTCCCTCTGTAAGTCAATGTTTGTAAGACATAGGTCTAAACAATAAACTGTTACCTTCACTTGCTCCTTTCCGTCAGTAAGAACAGCTTGTTAAGTTCCAGAGGGGGTGCTGCGTAAATACAATTAACCGCCGTAGAAGAAAAAGAAAAAAAGGAATGAATGAAAAGGAGAATTCACGAAAGCAGAGCCAGTACACCGAATACATAGGCGAGAAAAAAAAAAAAACACAAGAAGAAAACAAAGAGGAGAAGGTTTATTATACAGAAAATAAGGGGTCATTTTTTTTTTTTTTTTTTTTTTACATGACATACACCTCATCCTTTTCTGTTTAACTATCTCCGAATTGTTTTCAAGGTGCATTTTGAAGGGTGAGCTTCTTACCTACACAATCTATTCGCCCCCCAAGATTTCTCACTCAACTGCACGTCTAGTAGTATGGTGTACACATTTGCATTTCTTTTTTTTTTTTCTTTTTCAATTTCATTCCCTTCTCGCATTGGGGGTTTTCTCTTTCATTTGGTTATTTATTTAGTAGGCAGTGTTTGTGTTCTGGTACAGACGAGTTATAGAAGTATAACGTCTTGTATTGAATAAAAAGCAAACATTGATGAAACCGAAGTAAAAAAAAAAAAAAAAAAAAAAAAAA